TTTCAAGAGTGTATGAAAGCATGTATGCAGAGGCTAGCACTCAAAGAAATTGCGCAAAGGAAAATCTTTATAGAGTAAACAAAGAATGATTAGACGCTTGAAATGACCCATTTAATAAATGGGCACAAAATGCGAAAATAGAACAAAACGACTGTAGTATGTAATGAATGCAACAAGCACCACGTGTTAAAACAAAATGATTACCGACAGAAAAGTCGGCATGGGAGAATAAAAACCCACAACCGGGATCTATGAAATGGACACCCAGGTAAAATGATGCTAAGCCAAGTTACAAAGATGATGTGCTTGGGGGCAACCTGCCAGTTGAAACCCAACAACTCAAGCCCATCCTCAACCCGGTTAAAAGAAATATATACGGTATTTTGTCGGGTACGTGCTCAACCCGACAAGATAAGGGGCAATGAAATACTATTCTCCGTTCCAAAAAATTCGAAGCTCAAAACATATGCGTAAGGAGTTCACGAGAACTCGAATATTCCCGACAAAAACTTGAGTCAATGCAAAAGGAAATTCACCCCGGCAACCCGGACACCCAGATAGCCTGGCTGAGAGGCAACTGTTATGGACCCATATAAGGGGCCTATTGATTGACAGGCCCAACAAGGGGCAATCTAACATACAAATCAAGCATAACTACGGAAGGATATCCATGAAGGATATTAATCCTGATACGACAGCATGATAGATGGGTCTGGGCCACCATTAGAGGCACTAAAAGTCCAAAATATACTACCCACAGGTAAACTCTCTAAATAAGAGGTAAAACCTACAGGTAAGGAACGCTCTCTCTCTTAGTGTTATGTTGTCACTGTTCACACACACCCCTCCTTTGGCAAAGTCGTTACTGCTTTATTATGCACAGTGATCTGCTTGACTCAAGGGTATCTCACCCATAGATATCTTGGAGAGGGCACTAGATCCAAGATCAACATACTAGCCCATTGGGCTAGACATCTCTGTCTCCAAGATAGAACAACGCCAATCCACCATGAAATGGTGTGGATTGCTATTTTTAACCCAATTTTAAAAGGCCAACCAATCCGGCGAATCAGGATCGACCTACTTTTCCCAACCTTTGTATAATAAACTTCTAGATATCAGTAATGTTCATATTTTTCTCCAACTCTTATAAACACCTATCGAAAAAATGTTTAACTAAAAAAATATTAGAGTAGATCGTGAAATCTTAAGAAGAAAGCGAATGAGATTGTGTTAAAATCATTTTCTTGATTATTTTTTTTAGTACAAAATTTTCTTGTTTATTTTCAATGCTATAAAAGCAATATTTGTCTGCCGGTTTGATGACTTTTTACATGAGGTAGACCTTCGTGGTTGGATTTTGTTACGAATTATAGGTTTAGACGCACAAGGAATGATTCGAGTCATTTGGAAGATATTTTTTGGAGATATTCCAATCGGTTCATCGCTTCACGACTAAATCGATTCGGGGCGGATCCCAGGATTAAGGCTTTAAACCCCTCTCAAAGATGATATTGGGGAGGATCGAACACATGCTCTCACCCCCACTTGCTTAGTTCCCTAGCGCCAACTGAGCTACCATCACTTGGTCGTTTGGAAGACTTTATAGCTTGAGAAGTAAGCGTTGCATGAATCAGTTATGAATGTGTACACGTGGATAAAAAGATAGTTCATTAGGCCATTATATTAGCTATAATAGTTGAGTTAAGGATTATTATATACTATAATAACGAAGTTGGAAAATAAAAAAGTAGGATGGTTAGAGCATTAGTAACTAAAATCACCCACGTCCCTTTCTTTTCTCTCTCCCTCTCTCGTGTTTCGTTGATTTTCGTCTCTTTCTAGTTACGTATCTTAAGCAATATTGTAACAACAGTGCTTTCATTCTGAACGTTCCATAATGCATGTCTAAGATTTGGGTGAAGAATTCAAAGTCTTCAATGTTCGCATGGAGATTCAACTCAATGAACAATAAACTAACTGTTGAAAATTTAGATAAGATGAAGAATAATAGATGAAGAAACTTTTGTATTAAAATTGGCTAAAGGAAAAAAATACAAGAACACATTATTTTAATCTCACGATCATTCTCTCTTTCTTTCTCTTTCTAAGTGCTCCAATTTTCTTAATTTGTCTTTGTCAATTTTGGATTTTGAGGTTGAATCATCTCTGCCATCTTTATTGAGACACGATCGAACCAGTGGTTCTAATACCACTTGTTGGAGATAGAATAACAAGAATAGACCAAGTATAATAGAAGAAGAGCTTTTACTACATAAAAATTTCACTAAAAAAAATACTATGACACTAATCTCTATTTGTATTTCTCACAAATCTCTTTTCTTTTTCTCTCACAAGTGTTTCAACACTTTCTTTTCTCACACTTTTACACATTTTCTATCTTTCTATTCATACATCCAAATGCATAACACACAACACACACACAAACACACACACACACACACACACACACACACACACACACACACACACACAGATATATAGATGTACATTGGAAACTTAACTTGAACTTGACAACCTATTACAACCACTAGTTTCCACCTCCTTTGACTATTCTTACTTTGTTTACTTCAAATTAGTTTTCACAACTTATAATGGCCACATATTAAGTACAACTCATATATAGATAAGGCTTCATGATGCTTCTAGTTTGATGTATAGATAAGGTTTCCAACATATCATGACTTGGCAATGGATAAAGTGTAGTCCACAATTTTTCGTAAGTTTCCACAAGCTTCTTTAACTTTCTACAAGCTTCCATAAGTTTCTACATTTGTGGTGGAGAAATTCAATTTGAATTTGAATTCTGTGGTGGTGGGAAGGAAGTAAAAGCAAAATTGAGTTTGAATTCTAATACTAACTTGTGCCAGTTATTGAAGAGTGTCTCAACGCGAAGATAACTTTACTAGGAGCTTAGTTGCAACATATTAACAAAGCAGTGGTGGTTCCTATAGGAGAACCAAACTCAACAATCCCATGTTGAGACTTTTGAGCAACTAGGACTCGTTTTGACCCCCCACTGATTCACATTCAATAGTCAAAGGTGTTCATATAGATTTCCCTTCTTTTATAGGTAATGACCCTAATGTTAGTTGAAATTCTTACCTGAATTAACAATACATTTGTTGTGGTGTTTGGCTTTTAATGACTCATTTTGCAAGTGAAATGAGCCCAAATTATAAAAAATTGACCCAAGCAAGTAATAGACAGATTGAATAACAATTTTTTTGTGAATTTTCTTGATATTCTGCTATAGCAATTTAGCATTAGAGCCACGTTAGCAAAATGGCTTATGTATGGTGAGTTTCAGACCATTGGATGTGATTTAATCGATTGGAAGCAAGAAAGCATTGAGATTTTTAGAAATAAGGAGTTAAATAGGATTTTCAGCTTTAGTTTTTTAGTTTCTAGTTTTGAGTTTTCTGACTTTTGTAAAAGCACATCCAATGCTTCTTTCTTGGATGGATTCAAGATTCATCTGAATTCAAGCTCTCAATTTGTAATTCTATCTAAATGCTAGTTTTCTAAACATTGTAATTCGAAGAAGTAGTCTATAACTCTGAATTTTACTCTTCTATTTCTTATTTTGGTATTCAATGTCTAAGTTTCTTTTTGTTACATTTTTCTTTGTTGTAGTTACTGTAATAATTAATTCTAATTCTTTTTCTGGGAATCTGGATGAAGTGGTTTATACCCATTAATTAGAATTACTTGTTTAACGCGTTCTTGATTTTCATTTGGCAATATCTCCTTATTTGAAGGATATAGGAATAGTCTTTGACTTCATTTTTTATGAATCTTGATTGGGAAATTAAGATGCATGCATGTTGTTGATAGAATGCTTTAAGATAAGGGATGATTTGACGTGAAAACTGAGATTTGACATAAACAAACCCGATTTAAGCTTTGGGGACTGGTTTGAATTGATTTCATTCTGGAAAATGGCAGAAAAGTGCTACAACACTCAACTTTCGTCAAGAATGTGCTATAGTGGGTAAAAATGCAGGCATGCGAAACGGAAAAGGGAAAATCATGAATTCTAGAATTCCAGTGTTTGATGTCTGATTGTTAATTGTTGTAGACATAGTTGAGTTACCTTTCTGTAATTAGATCTGAATTTTAGTTAGTAATTCAATTTTAATTGAGGAAAGTGATTTCTGAGTTTTAAGAAGGTAAGATAGGATTAGATAAAAGAAACTAAAAGCATTGTTCTTTGTGGATAGATCTTTATCATCTCATACATATACTACTATTTGTGATTGTTAGCACAAGAACCAAAGCATTTAAATTTCTGGAAAATTGTATTCTAACAAAATGGCGCCATTTGCTGAGGAACGATGTTTAATTCAGTTCTTTTTGAAATTCTGTCAATTAGTTCTTGAATTTGTTTTTCTTTGTCATTTTAATTTCTATTAAATTCTATTTTTTTGCAAATTTTGTAGGTGAGATTAATTTTGTAAACTAAGAAAACATCAGTGACATATATTGAGTTATGCCAAATCTGAAGAAAACAAAAAAGAAGAAGAGAAGTTTGGTTGTTTAATACATAATGGCAGAGGCGCATGGGAATAATAATGCTAGTTCTATCCATGGAAACAATGAATTTTGAAATGTGGAAGCTGGTAATGCTATAGTGATAGTTGATGAAGAGTTTCCAATAATGGAATATGTCATTCAATCTCTTGATGGAGTAATTTCGGGCATAGTGCAACCTTATTTGGATGTAATTTTGGCTTGAAGCCTAGTATAGTTCAGCTCCTACAGTCCATGACTCAATACTATTGGCTACCACATGAAGGCTCGATACTTTTTCTTTTCACTGTGTCTCCAAATAAGCCATGCGAATGGAGCTCTTTCCTTATTCCTTGGGCGGGGCAATAGAGGAGCGGATGGAAACTTTTCCATCGTAATCAATCTTCACTTGGAAGGAATAGAGAGAGGTTTTCTTTATGAGGTTCTTCTCTCTAACCAGGGTGTGTGATCTAAGAGACAACATTACCAGATTTAGGTAATTTGCTGATTAATCCCTTCATGAAGCATGGACAAGGTTTAAGGGAATGTTGAGGAAATGTCCTACTCATGGACTGCCTAACTGGGCGTTTTTTCAAATCTTCTATAGAGGTTTAAGTGGGCAAGGGAGGACTAATGTAGATTCAGTTTTGGTATGGAAATTTTACAAAAAAAAAATACTAAGAGAATTAATCTCAATAGCTATCAATGGCCCCTTGATAAGGCTTACCACCCAAGGAAGGCAGCTGGAATCCATGAAGTCAATGAAATAACTTCACTGGCGGTTCAACTTGCTGCCTAGAATAACACAATTAAGAATCTTGCCAAGGTGGTATTGGAAGCCAAGCAACTAGCACTTGCACCAATAGTTGCTACAACACTTGTCTATTCCTTGTGCGATGAATCTCATGCTTTTAAAGAATGCCCCAAGAACCCAAAATCTGTCCTTTTGTGGGAGGCTTTAATCGCAATTACAACAACCACAACCAATTTAATCAGCAAAGGTAACATAATCAAGGAGGTAATTTTGTCCAAAATCAAGGCCAAAATTACCAACATAATGCTGGAAATAAGGAACACCAGCAAACTTACAAAGACATGCAGCATTCTTTCCAACCAAAGGTGCCTTTCCCACCTAGTCTTATGTCGCCTCCTCCTGCTAAACAACAAAAGCAAAGCATCCCTGAAGTTCATCCTCCTATTGAGCAGTGAATGAAAGACTATATGGCAAAGAATGACCAGTGAATGAAGGAGCATATGTAAAGAATGATTGTTGTCCCCAACAATGGACACATTTAAGAACGTGGGAAATGCAAATGTATAGATTCTGTGCTTAATGAATCATCAATAAGAGAACCAAACCGTGACTTAATCTTGACTCTATCCATTAGTAATTAGACTTAACATTGAAACCAAAACACTAAGAACAAGCATCCAATCAAGCAGTTTCCAAAAGCAGCAAGTCATAGAACCACAACAAGAGATCTATCAATCAAGTATATATAGCTAAATCTAAACACACCCCTAACTGGAATTATCAATTCACTCAGCACTCAAGTGTCCAGGGTTAAGTTATCACTCAAACATTCATTGAATAAATACTACCATAGGCTTGGTTATATTCTTACTCTTCACAGTCAAGTAACAGGCACAGAAGATCAATAGGTCTTTATAAAGATTGTAATGAGGCCTGGCTAATGGGAGGATAAATAAAGAGAAATATGGCTAAAGAGTTGAAGCACAAAAGGATCATGGTATAACTATAAACAATTTTAACATATAATCCTTTTCTCCTTTTTCATCATGCTTTTTTTCAGCATTATTATTTTTAATCCCCAAATTTTTTCATTTTTATTTTTCATTTTTATTTTTTCAATACTTTTATTTGCACAAAACTTAAAGGGGAAACACACACACACACACACACATATTAATCACCATTTTCTACCTTTGTTTTTGTTTAACTTTCAAAACCTCTTTTTTCACCACTAAGCATCATAAGACATAATGCTCATGCCTACACCTTACCATGATAGTTTTGGAATCTATCTAAGGTAGATGTGTGTGTGGAGTGACTAATTAAAATATCAGGTTACACAAAAAGAAACAACCTAGGCTCAACGAACTTAACAAAGGATAGCATAATAGTTGGCTTTTTGGCTAAGTAGCGAAAACAAAAAAATAATGCCTCAATTATATCAGCAGTTCATGTAATCAACCATCTTAAGGAGAAACAAAATAAGTTCTAGAGCATTTTTAACAATGAAGTGCACACCAAAAGGAAATTTTCTGTTTAGGCTCAAAACCTCATGGCTATGGGTGCATTATTCAGTTAACTATGCTATCTCACAAACCGTAATCCTAGTGCTCCTACTAACTCTTAGATATACCCAATTAGTGCTTATTCACAAAATCAAAACAAGCTTGTTAATCATCACACTAAGGATCAAATCATTGACTAACTTCCTACTAACTCTCCATTGGCACAATCCTTAGTCATTACAACAAATCAATCACAAAGAAAGAAGGAAAAATGTAAACAGCTCTCATGATTGCTACTACGATATATGGTGTTGCTCCCTATTTTCAGATTTAGAAATTTGTTGTCCTTAACAGTAACTATATATCAGTAATAATGAGCACATAACAATAAAAATAAGCAGTAGCACCAAAAACTATCAGAAATACAACACCATGGAGATCAGAAAATAAAAAAATAATCAATAAAAAAATGAACGCGAATAAATTCGTTAGGTTGCCTCCCAACAAAAGCTTGTTTATCGTCACGAGCTTGGTTTTGACAGATGATAAAGGTGGCTTGTAGCAAAGAACCAAAGCTGGATTTGTTCCCTTGGTCTTAGCCACCTTCTTGGATTTCTTTATCTTAACCTTGAGTTTGTTTTTGTTTCATAATAGGAGAGGATTCTCGACTTTTTTTCTCCATCTCCTTTATCTTCAACAAATTGTTCTTGCAAATCTGAGGTAAAGAATATTAGTGATGGAATTAATTGTAAAAGCAAAAATACTTCCCTAGTCTCCATCCTCCTTGTGAACACCTCATCCTTTAGCTCATCTACCATTATATATGCAGTGGTCAGAAGTGGTTCTTCAAGAAAGTGAGAAATAATGGGGTCCTCATCCATATCAACAACTGCAAAACTTTCTGTGTATGCAAAGTTGCCCGCTTTCACAGCACATTTTCAGCAATATTTACCAACACTTGAATAGAGAGATCGAGCAATTGTAGACCTCTTGAGCTAGAATGAATGACTCCTCCTCAGCTTCTTGTTCGACTATTGGCTGGGCCTTGATTGCCTAATATTCACCGTAAATCTCTTTCTCAATCAGCGCTAGAGCTTCATCAGGTTTCTTAGTGTAAAGCGGTCTTCCAGTTGCTAGATCTAAGTTTATTCACCAAAGTGGGCTTAGATTGTTGTAGAAAGTACGAGCCAATTGTCAGTCTTTAGGGAGGTGATCTGGGCATTTTCTGCATAATCTCTTAAGCCTCGCCCAACCTTGATATAAACATTCTCCTTTCTTGAGCGTGAAGGAGTCAATCTCCTTTTTAGTCCTTTTGGCTTTAGATGATGAGAAGTAGTTGCTAAAATTTTTGAATTCTAGGTCCTTCCATGTGGTTATTCTTCATCAAGGTTGAGACTTCAACCAAGTCTTAGCTCTACTTTTCATAAAAAAGGGAAACAAATGGACCTTAATTGAGTATTCAATGGCTTGGTCTATCCTTATGCCATTGCAGAAATTCAAAAATTGATCTATTAGATCGTGAGGATTCTCTGCATGTTTACCCCCAAAAAGTTTTGCACATTCAATGTCGAGCAATTCTTCCTCTAAATCTGGTGGAATTTCAAATTGATTAACCACGATGTTGATGATATCTCATAGAGAACCAAATCTTTTTTTTTTTTTACTTTTCCTAACTCTGGTTCGTACTGTAAGGCACTGGTGTCAACAGTGCCTCACAGCTGCATATACTAGAGAGACTAATAAAAGTGGGTCTAACTAACGGATACCTCTAAATTAACAAAAAAAATTGATCCAATCTATGAGTGATAGGTATATTGGAAGAGCTTTGTGTGGTCTTGGCTCTAGCATCAATTTGATGCCTACTTCTATTTTTAAACAACTTGGAGTAGAAGCCTTTCCAACCACTGTTACTTTAATATTAATTGATAGTTCACTAGCACACCCTGATGGGAAAATAAAGAACATATTAGTAAAGGTTGATAGATTTATTTTCCCTGTTGATTTCATAATTCTAGACTTTGAAGCTGACAAGAATGTGCTTGTTATATTGGGTAAGCCATTCTTAGCCACTGGTGGTGCTATTATTGATGTTAGGAAAGGAGAGCTTACATTTAGGGTACATGAAGATAAATTACCTTCAATATTTTCAAAGGAATTCATTATATTGATGAAAGGGTGGAAGATTGTTCTACTTTAACTCTTGTGGATTCATTGGTGGCTGACTAATTCATGGCAATAAAGAAAAAAGATCCTTGTGAATCTCTTTCAACTTCCAAGTTTAATGTTTAAGCCAAAGAATTGGATGTAAGTTTGTTGGAGAATAGGATTAATGAAAAACCAAAAAAGTGGGTTTAGGATAAGCATTTTAAACCATGGAATTTACAATAGAGGAATCTAAACTCTAGCTCTTTAATTCAACAAAGAAGACTTAGTCCCCTCAAGAAAGAAATGGTTCGAAATTAAATAATCATTTGGTTTGATATAGGACAACTTGTTCTAAAGTTCAAGACAAGAATCAATTTATTTCCAATCAAGGCTACATCAAGATGGTTAAAGCATTTCTGGAGCAACCATGTAGATAAAGAGAAGACTTTCATTTCCTTAATGGATGCTGGGTGAAACAATAAAAAGGTCTAGCTGATTAGTTAGTTAGTAGTAATTAACAATTTAATGTATAGAAATGTTAAGTTAATTTAGTGAGTAAGACTGCTTAGTTGTTTAGTTTGAATATTCTCAGTAGTTGTCAACTTTATGGTGTGTTTGTTTCGAGAGGGTGTTTGACCAGTTTGGAGATATTTTGGTTTAAATTTACGAATTTGGTATTTGATTTTGAGATATTACCGGTTGGGGTCTTTGAGTGCCGCAGGGGAGACCCCACGACTCTAAAAGACGCCCATGGACTCCTGCGGCACTCATGTAACATTTTTTTTTTCTGAAGATAGTACCGCCAAGAGCTCCCAACGACACTCATTTTTTTTATTCCTTAAGTGCCGAACAACCCCCCCAACGGCACTTATTTGAAAGTTTTAATCTATTAGAATTTTTGGATGATTGGAAGAAATTTTTGGATGGTTGAAAGGGAACCCAAGGTATATTTTCCAGTGTCGTTGTCCAACAATTGATTTTAAAAAATGTCATATGTGTGCTCTGGAAAACATTGAAGTTATTGTTTATTAAAGGACCACCACCGGTCGTAAATAAATGGTTACTGCGCTAAGCTTCAAAACCACCGAAACCTGAAACCAGCATGCCATTAACCATTCTGAAAATTCTGAAAAAATGTCACAGTTCCTGCATAATCCAACTTGTGAATTG